CCCCTCCGCTAATGGCCATCTCTTGCCTTTGGAGCCTGTGCTGGTGTCATTCCCTAGACGACCTCCTAACCACCCCCCCCCACCCCCACCAAATCTGAGCCAGTCCCCCGTCTACTCCTTCCGCAAATGCCAGGACTGTTCCTCTGGATTCAGCCTGCAGGAAGGGAACCTAACGATCTCCCTCTTGGGAAGACTCGGTGGGGCCTGGGTCCCCTCCTAGCCCAAGCTCAGTTCCTGACATTCGTTTTTCGTTACTCCTAAGGGTTTAGTCCAGGTTTTGGTGTGAGATGTGTTGGAGCCGCAATGCTCCCACAAGACCATCGTCACCTCCACGTCCCCAACACAAACATGGCCGACTCACAGAAGCTTCGAGCAGAGGCTGCTGCACTGGCCCAGTGTGACTGTGGATGGTGACCCTGCCCCCTGCCAGACAGACACCGTCACACCATGCTCTCTGAACAGGGCGTCCTGGGCACACCTGCGTGTCTATGATATCACAGCCTGGCAAACGTGACCTTCTGAAACCTGACACAGGTCCTGACAGCCCCTGAATCATTATTTCACTCTGTGTCTTGCTTGGGGATGCGCACAGGTTGTGCTTCTGAGTTCTCTGGTCACAGTAGAAGCAGGAGACACCTACCTCACTGGGAGACAGAACCCGCTCCACTTCCTTCCTGGTTAACAGTCCAGGCAGGACTGAGGATCACAGTCTCACTTGGCCCAGGCCTGAGAAACAACAAAGGCCCAGTTGCTGTGGCAATGATGGAGCCCAAGGCACCTCATAAAGCCAGGGCCGGCCCCACCCTGGGGCCCCCACAGCCAACGGGGGGCAGGGCGGGTCCAGCTACAGACACCCTGTAGAGAAGGCCTGGGGCCCCCACAGCCAGCTGGGGACACCCTGCAGAGAAGGCCCCCGTGGCCGGGGTGGGGCCAACTGCTGGTCTGGGTCATTCCTACATCCAGCCTGACTACCTGGGCTTCCACGTCCTCAACACATACCCCCTTTGGCCCAACACACCATGCGGAGCGATCTTCAGGAGCAAAGAGTCCCTGGGGATGACAGGGACGCTGATCCTGGCAGCTTTGTCTGACCACAGGCGGGCGAGAGGAGATGGGGCCCAGGATGAGGGGCCGCAGGGAATGAGGGTGCTGGAGGCCGGTGGCCGGGCGGGGGAGGGGAGAGCGGCTGCCCCTTATGGGCCCTGCACACCAGCACCCGCCTGTGGGCAGCCCCGGGCTGGGGCCCGCACAGCTCTGCGTGCTAACCTCCACCTGGAACCACATCCCAGGGAATCCCGTGCCCAGGCCTGCCGGCCACCACTGTCCACAGCGCTACCCCGGGCCAGGCCAACATGCCACCAGAGACCCAGGGCAGACGACAGGCTGCTTGACCAGGGTCTCAGACCCCCAAGAGCCCAGCCATCGGCACAGCAGACCGCGGATGGTGGGAGATGCCAGTAACTGAACACAGTTCAAGTTCAGGGCAGGGCACCCACCAGAGTGCAGGCCTCCCACAGTGCACTCACTTTTGAGCCGCCACATCTGACACGGCATGTGAGTGTTGGCCGTGAGGCCACCACTCCCACTGGCAGAGCTCAAGCTGCGGCAAAGTTTAGTCTTTACAGCGCTTGAAAGTGCTTTTTGGTAAATGAAGACGAGCAAGGTGTCGGCCTTCTGCATAGAACAGGCTTCCCCAGATACGCCTGTGTGCAGGCTGCTGGCCCCTCGCTGGGGTTTTTTCTGGGGCCTGTGGCCTCAACCCCTCCACTCGGCAGACCCTGAAAGAGGCACCAGGGAGTGGGGCAGGGGAGGCACTACCCCAGGGGTCCCCCGAGTCTGCAGGTGGTCGGGCCTCCTGGCTGACCTGGAGCCACGGTGACCTCAGCCACTCACACCTATGAGAAATGTGCCTCCAAAAGAGACATCTTCGCTCCATGAGAAAAACTTCAGAAGCTACAACACTAAGAGACTAAAAACCAGAGCCGTAACCCCTGCCTGGGACAACCAGGATTTTTCCCACGCACAACTGCATGCCCTAAAATTCTAATGGGCCCCACTCTGTGCTGTGGGCCCCACTCTGTGGGCCCCACTCTGCAACCCACTCTTGTCCCCTCTACTGCAGTCCAGTGTCCCCTTCCCTCAACACAGACTCCCCCCCTAGTTTTAGGGTGCACAGAGCACTCCACCGAGTGTGATCCTCAACCTGCCTGACAGGAAGGTCATTCACAAGCTCTGTTAACGGGCCTGCTGCAATCCCGCTGCGCACACACCTAAGCAGCCAACCCCCAAAGGGTCAGCACTGGGGCTGGGGGCAGGGATGGCGGAGGAGTGAGGTGGAGTGCGGGACAGGTAGGCGCTGGCACTCACGTGCACACACACAGGCACCGACACACACACGCCAACACATGTGCTCACACGTGCACGGACATTGACTCACACACATGCTCACACACGTGCTCACACATGCACTAGCACAATGTGCATGTGCACACACGTGCACCAGAATAAACATGTTGCACACACGTGCTCACACATATGCTCACATGTCACATGTACTCATGTGCACACAGATGCACATACGAGACTGCACAAGTGTGCAACACTCACACATGTGCACACTCTCTACCTCACTGGTCTTGTTTGGAGTGTGGCTTCCCACAGAAAAGGCAGCAAGATGGACCCCCATCACCTGGCACTGTCTGCCCACACAGCCCCTTCCTGGAGAGTCAACAGCATGGTTGAGGTACTGTGGTGCTCCCATGCATCCGTGGCTGACACGTGGCCACTGTGGCTCTGAGGGATACTCCCCGTCTCAGGCCACCTGCCCCTAGTTATTCTGACCACGAAGAGCACCTGTGGGTTCTGACCTGGATCCTGCCAGCTTCCTGGGGCAGCAAGCCCAGGGAGGCGCCCCAAGCCCCAGGTCCCCCCTTCACGGCTGTGTGTGACACACCCAGGAAGGAGCAGCCTGACCTTGGGGTCTGTCCTCCTGGGGACTTGCTCCTTTGCTGGCACCTGCCATGGCTTCCTGGACACCTCAGCTATGCAATGTTTTGCTCCCCTTCTCCTGAGGTTCCCAAGGCGCCCTACCAGTGCAGCAGGCAGTGGCTAGCAGGGCTGGCCCACCCCGTGGCACTTGTGGGCCGGGGGACGTCGTGCTGTCCACTGCCTCCGTCACACATACCCCCTTCCCCCAGGATTCACTCTGCCCTGTGAGGTGACAGAAGCGCCAATCTTGTTTTGTTTGAATATTTTGAAGTTTATTTATTTTGAGAGAGAAAGAAGTGTGCGCATGTGCGTACAAGTAGGGGAGGAGCAGAGGGGGAAAGAGAGACTCCCAAGCAGGCTCCGCACTGTCAGCACAGAGCTCGACATGGGGCTTGAACCCACGAACCGGGAGATCATGACCAGAGCCAAGATCAAGAGTGGGACGCTTAAACGACAGAGCCGCCCAGGCGCCCTTCCAATTCTGTTTTCAAAAAGGAAGCCCACCTGGAAGTTGTGCAGGGTGGGTAAGAGAGACACACTGCGGGCGGAGAACGGGGCCAGACACAGAGTAAACGCGAGAGGGTGAGCAGCCGGAACGGACGCTGCTGACCTCCTGTGACAAAGGTTCTTGCTGAAAAGTCACTTGGAAGTGGACACTTGCAGGGGTGCCTGGGGGGCTCAGGGTGGTTGAGCGTCCGACTGCGGCTCAGGTCATGATCCCACGGTTTGTAAGTTCCAGCCCCATGTCGGGCTCTTAGCTGGCAGCTCGGAGCCTGGAGCTGCTTCCGTTTCCGTGTCTCCCTCTCTCTCGGCCCCTCCCTCTCTTGTGCTCTCTCTCAAATATAAACGTTGAAGAAAATTTAAAAAAACAAACAAGTGGACACCTATGGGGCTGCAGACAATTACATGCAATCGCTCTGTATTTTATTGAGATCTCTACATTTTGCAAATGTAAACAAGCATCCAGTAAACACATCCAGATTAAAAAAGTCTATGGACACAGCACATCACTGTCGTCAGGGGGCAGTGTCAGCTTCCAGCAGAAGGCAGGCCTCGCCCAGCACAGAGCCTATCCCAGGCCAGGAGGGTGCGGCCCCACCATGACCTGCTTCGGAAATGTGGGGACGGCGGGGAGGGCGGGCAGGGCAAACAGCACACAGGACCCTCAACGTGGGCATCTCTTGCCTCCCAGGGGGTGCTCAGGAAGAAAGCTGGGGCAGGATGGTATGTCCCGGCCAGCCACAGAGAGGAGCTTTACAGACCCCTCAAAGCTCAAGAGACAAAGCACAGCGGCTCAACCCCACCCGGTCACACACCTGTATGTGTGCTGTCCACTGTCCAGGATTCACGGGGCTACCCACAGAAACACGGGATCCGCGTGTGGCTGACATGATGCCAGAGACACCTCCCCACCTCCCCGGGGCTGCTTCCCGCACGCCAGAGGGGACTAAACGAAAGTCTCTGTCTCACGGACAAAAACTCTGTACACACAAATAAAAAAATAAAAAACTAACGGAAGTCTATCTACAAGGCTAGCTCTTTGCAGAGGCTGCAGGTTCTGGAAACTGAAGCAATTCGTATGGGTCGTGGGTCACCTCTGGCTGCTCCCCGATGCTGAGGCCAGAAGGACTTCCTGCAATTGTGGGAAAGACAGGTGTTCACACAGTGGATCCACACACACGTCGCGGTTCACACCGGGCCGAAAACGTGTCCTAGTGACGGCGGTTAGTGAAACCACAACTCAGCCATAGAGCCCGCTTGTTACTCAGCCAAACCTCCGCCATGGACGAGCACCCCCGAGCCCACAACGTCAAGACGTATTTCGTGAGCCTGACCTTCTATCTGGGAACTGCAACAGCAGCATGGGGAAGTAAGGGAGTAAATTCAAGGAGCCAGGAAGCATTTGGTTCCCTTCCTGGTGGGACTGAAATCCCGGTGGGGCCCACACACCTGCCCGCTCTGTCTCAGTAAACACAGAAGGCCCCAGGCCACCTGCTCTCCCCTCAGGGCCCCGGAGGATCGACACACTCGTTGACACTCTGTGTTAGGACTAAAAACGGGAATGGCAGAAAGAAACAAACGTTCCCCGAGTTGAACTCAGCGTCTGAGGCTCGTTCTGCCCCTTCCAAGGTCCCTGGGGTGTAACCAGCTGGGGCTCCTCATGACGCAGGGCCGGCCATGTCTCACGGCCACTCCCCACGATTCCTAACCCCAAGTGACTTCCACTCACACGCTTCAGCCCCGTGCAGCTGCCCGACTAGAGGGCGGTCTCAGCACCCCAGGGGCAGGGGCACCCTGCAGAGGGAGCAGCCCACAAAGTCCCGGGGCTACCTTACCCAGGTGGTGCTGGTCCCTACTGGAGGGGGAGTTGTTGGACAAGGAGCTGTTGGAGGACAGCCAGGAGCCCCCGCGCTCTGCCTGTGCCTCGTGTAGGTCCTGCAGAGGCGTACAGAGACACAAGCAACCAGGAGAAGAGGGAGGCTGCAGCGCAGATGACTGGCAGGCCTGACGTCCATCCGCCGCTGGGCAACATCCCCACTACGGGGCGAGCCTGCCTGCAGCGACCCCATAACAGACACCACTTCTGGGAGGGTCCTGCTCGCGAGGCACCCCAGAGATGGAGCTGGTGACAGGACCCAAAGAGAGCCTGCGGGACACGAGCTCTGCCCAGACACCCCTGACGCTACCTTGCCCCCTATGAGAGCCGGCTGATCCTGTCCCGAGCCTCGTCAGCTGCGTGCTCCACCAAGGCCAGCACGTGCTCCTCTGCCGTGCTGTCAGTCAGGCTGCAGGCATTTCCTTCCGGCTCAAATGTGCAGCTGCGAGGCAAGAACACCACACATGTCACCGGGGCACGTGCTGCTCCCACCTCACCACGGTCAGTCCCTACCACTCCCCAAGGTCACCATGGGCTGGGAGCAGGGGCACGAAGTACTCCTTGACCCTGTCCTCATGGCTGTAACTGCAGCAATACGCGAGGCCTCCACGAACAGCAAGGGAGACCCAAACGGCCGCTGGAGGTGTCTCGTGTCTCAGCTGCACACCTCAGTCGATCTGACGGCAACCTCACTACTCACAATGCCATTCGAGGCACCGTTGGAAAAAGAGGCAAAGCTCCATGGAGCGTGGAGACACCAGAAACAAGGGTGAGCTGGGAACACAGGTCATGAGGCAAAAGGGGCATCCCGAGGCTTCGGCAGGTGGCCTCAGACCCCACACAGAGAAGAGCTTTATTTGAACAGCCAAGGGTTGCTGGGTGCAGCACCCAAGGGATGTGGTCTCTCTTGTGGAAGGTTCCAGAAGCATATGGACAGTTTCCATCCAAGGAGCTGTGGGAGCAAATTCTGCCTGCGGATCCCAAGCCTGCAAGAAGCCCCCCCACCGGCCCAGGGTGGATGGCTGCAGGAGTTGGGGGGTCGGGTATGATGAGAATGAAGCCCCCCCCCCAAAGCGTGTCACTTGCCTAACACAGCACAGCTATGTCCCCCGCTCAGGGACAGCCAAGCCAGGCCACCAACAAGTGTCCTGCATAGGAGGGAACTTCTTCAGAGTGAAGGGCCAACAATCACTGCAACACACATATGGGAACAGCAGTGTCACACCTGGAACAGAGCCTGCGTATGGCTGGCAGGGGTGGTCCAGCCCTTGTGCCCCCAGGTCCGTTAGCGTGACAAGGCCCGGCTGGTCCAGGTTGCCAGCCAGCTGCCTGGAAACACCTGAGACCAGAGCTCACACGCAGCCTCTGGGGACCAGGCTCCTTCCAGGAGGTGGGGGGGGGGGGGGTCCACAAGCTACTCCGCAGACACGGGCGCCAGCACAGGCTCACCCTCACTCACATTCCTGAGGTGCGTTTCCCGATACCTGATAACTTCTCTACTTCCTTTTGGATTTCTTGGCAGTTTCAACTTGTACAGGTGCTGCTTCAAGAACGAGCTCCTCAAAAGCTGTGTCTTCGTTGCCCAGAAGATCTGCCTGCTGAGAAAAATCCATGTCCTGCATAAACGACATGCTGTGCTTCAGAGCTAACAGCCGCTCCTAGAATCAAAAAGGACAGAGCAGCAGGCCTTTACCTCTGCCTCACAGCCGAGGCACCATGGCGATGGGTTGGATGTGGACATCCGCAGCCTCGCCTGGCCTAACAGCGGGCTCCCAGGGCGCTACCGCGGCAGGTGTAGGTGGGAGTCAGCACCACAGGCGTGGCCGACTGGCTGGGAGCACTCGGGGCTGGCAGAGGGGGACGGGCCAGAGGGCACAGTGGCCCTCACCTCACCTACAGGCCGATCAGGTACAAGGCACTGGTCCTAGATGCGTGACACATGCAACCTGGCTTGTGGGACAGATCTGGGAAGCCACTCTGGATGGCCAAGACGTCCTGTCCGGACTCAGTGAGGCAGCCACGTAAAACAAATCACAGGCTGGCTGCAATCCATCAGACACCCAGACTTAGATCAACAGATCCAGCACTTTCCACCAACCCTAAAGGAGACGTTCCAGCTGGCGCAGGAGCAGAGAGAGAGAGAGAGAGAGAGAGAGCACCTGGAGGGGAGGGTGGCCTGGGATGTGTACCCTAGAGCAGAAGCTCCGCGCCACTGCCAGTGATGGACTGGTGGAAGCATGTCAGTCAGTGGGGGTGGGGCTCTGTGTAGGCATCGAGACAGAGGGGAACTCACGTCTCTGTGGCTCCCTGCTGCCGCGGGTTTCTTTGCTCATCTTAAAGCCTGCGTGAAGGATCTTCTTGGTCTACTTGTAGTACACGGTGTCTGGTCTGTTGTAGGTCATCGCGTTATCACACATCAGTTTGAAATCTGCCTGAAAGGGAAAAAAATAGAATCTGTCGAATTTGAACCACTAAGATGCCAGCGAAAACCGGATTCCTGTCAAGAGGCTAAAACTGAGTGGCAAGCAACCAAACCAGGCTCTTCAGCTTCACACATGGTTTTTAACGACTCTTTGAGGAAAGTTTCAGACCTTACAGTGAGAAGCCTGCCAAACCTGGAGCTTCCTCTTGAGCACGACACATGCTTGCTTTCTGTTTCTGTTGTTTTATTCTGAGAAAGAGAATGTGTGTGTGAGCAGGAGCGAGACAGAATCCCAAGCAGGTTCCACGCTGTCATCACAGAGCCTGACGTGGGGCCTGAACTCGCGAACCATGAGATCATGACCTAAGCCGAAACCAAGAATTGGACGCTTAACCGACGGAGCCTCCCAGCTGCCCCAACAGGTGCGCGTTCTAAGAACACCGCAGCTCCCTCTCTCCATCTGCAACTCCCCCGCTTTGGGAGAAATCAGATGTAAATAGGAACAAGAAGTGACAGCCAGGTCCTTTTAAGTAAAAGCTGAGGGATGAGCAGAGACCTGAGCACGTTCACGTCCTCTCTCTGGGATTTTGCCACAGAATTCAAAACTTGGTCTATCGGCGATTACTCTAATAGCATCAGCAAAAAGGCTTTCCGTAAGATAGGAAAATCTTGCTGAACAGCTTGCGTTAAAAGCAAGCTATTGGACATTTCCATATATCATCACCCCAACCAAATTACAGACAGCACACACCTGTCACAGGTGCGCTGGCCATGAGGACGCATAAGGACAGCTGAAGCCAGCCAGACCCTGACTGAACCCCAGCACTGGCCCCACGGCCAAGGTCCCCAGGGCTGGGCCTGTGGCCCTCAAGTCCCCACCCTCTACAGGCCTTGATGTA